ATCTATATAAAGCCATAGGCTTCATGGCAGACTTTGTCGAATGATTTAGCAAAGTCTAGATATATTATAATTGCATAAAATCCACGATTATGTGCCTTCGATGCAAGTCAACCATTTCTAGTAGACTGGTAACACATGAACTTTGTCTAACAAAGATGTGCTGGTGTGAGATCAAGTTGTGTCAAAGAAGGTGGGTCATTGTGGGTTTTTTAACAGTCTCTCTATAATTTTACATATTATGGTTATTAAAGAGATTGGTCTATACTCAGATGGATCATATTTATTTCTTTTTTCTTTGTATGCTAGTGTCATATTGGCTTTATTCCAAGTGCCAGGCAATATACCTGTTACGAATAATATTAAAAAGGAAATGGGTCAAGCTAATCCCATCGAACATTCTTTGAGAGCGTATGAGCTTAGGCCATCTGAGCCCATTGATTTGTTTTTTTTCAACTGATTTAGTAAATACATTAGGATCAATTTTTTTAATCTTGCATGTCTGATTATAGCTAATCGAAAATGTAAACTTGGTCTTGGAATTTTACATTAAAAAATACAGATTTAAATTATTTATTCAGGCATCCTACTTTGTCAAGTGGTTTTGTTATGTTAATACTATTTATTCTCAGAGGTGGAACAAGAAATTCTGCTTTTATTTGGCTGTTGATCTATTGGTATATTTTTGCGTTAGTAAAAATAGTACAAGTTTTGGTTCATAATTTTTTTAAGTCATTTTTTTAGCTGTTTACCTGTTGATTTGTAGATTGGGTTAATGAATAGGCAGGAGTTGATGGAGCTGGCTAGCATTTTAAGCTAAAGATTAAATTTTTTTTGGTTAGGCGTTTAATGTTGTGAAATATTTTGGTATTCTATGTTTATAGGTTGTGGTTCTAGTAGGTACAAGTTTTGCTATTCCCTCTATGTAGCAAAGGTTGATGAGTTTATAATAGGATTATTTTTGCACACCTTAAGTTGTTTCCATCACTCAGGTTTGCAAAAAAAATTTGTTTTAATCGCTTCTACTATAGTTTGGTTTGGTTTAAGGTAGATAACTGTTAGTATTGATTAATGTTCTATACAAAAATTTCCAGCTAAGCGTACAATGAAAAATGTTTTTGGTTGAGTTGCATAGTGGTGGACTTATGTTGATTTCTGTACCAAAAAATAATCATGAATATATATATATATATATATATATATATATATATATATATATATATATATATATATATATATATATATATATATATATATATATATATATATATTTATATATATATCAAACATAATAAGAACAAGATTAAGCAAACATAAAATGAAAAAGATTAACCCTACCTAAATTTAGTTAAATCTTATTTTTATATATTTCAATATATATATATATATATAAAATTCCCTTAACTACATTTTATGATATAAAGTTTAGAATGCTGCAAAGATTTTTTCATTAAGAGACGGATTTAATCAAGTAGGTGGAGACATGAATTTTCTAATAATGACTAACTTAATTAAATATTGTAAAAGTCTTATCAAGGATATATTCTTATTAAAGCTTATTTGGCTAAGCAATCTAGATTAGAAAAATCCATTTAAATTTTTAGCATGCTAAAGTATGCCACATTATTAAGAAATATCTTGCAAAAACCTTGATTTTATATTGATTTTTGTGACATTACTTGTGAGTATATGAATCATAATAAAAGTAAATTTTAAATGTACTATTTATAATAGTATTATTAGATAGTATGATTACATTGTAGTCATTGTTTTATTACATAGATTTATCTTTTTTTTATTTATTGTCAGGTCAGGTGTATGGTCTTCATGATCACCCTGCTACTGGTAATATGTAACCCAGTGCAAACTGTTCCGTGTCCTGATGCCTTGTGGAATTTGCTTTCTAATTAAAGGCTCAAAGGAGTTTGCTTTCTGTCATCAGTACTTTTTTTGAGATTTATTTATAAACACTTTTAATATTGAAAATTTTTAGCTCGAAAACAAATGTTATGTAACAACTCAAATTTAATAGTGTATTAAAAAGTACTGGTTTCTATATGCATTAAAATAACTATTACATTAACGTTTTAAAAAATAAATTTAAAAGGCGTTTTAAAAGCTAAAATATTTGTTTGAAGTTTATAAAAACCATTGGATGAAAAATAAAATAAATACTAAACTAAATTTTAATTAATAACTAATTGCAATGTTACAATAATAAATGATAAAAACCGGGCAACTTAATTCAAAAAAGTGTAATGCTTTGGCATCTTTTAAAAAATGAAGCTACTCAAAAAAATGGCATATTTTATTATCGTATCCATGTGTTATATATATATATATATATATATATATATATATATATATATATATATATATATATATATATATATATATATATATATATATATATATATATATATATTATATATATATATATATATATATATATATATATATATATATATATCCAACTTCAATTTTTGTTTTGTATAAAAAATAAAAAGTTAAAAAAAAAAATTTATATACAATACTGTATTTATTAATTATTTCGGAACAACTAAAATGATTAGAAAATAAATGCAAATAAAATATGGGTTGGACAAAATGACCCATAGATGTCTTTTTTTTACCAGAAAAGCGCTAGACCATGTCCGATATCCGGCGCCTTCGAACCCTGAGTACTATTTAAAATCGGTTATGTCTATAGTAATATATATCTGCACTCTATATAATATAGTATCTCTATATATAGTAATATATATCCGTACTATCTATGATTGCGTCAAGTTCTCTTTAAACTTAAATCAAAAGTAACCTAAAATATTAAACATAAAAAGCCATCCTCACCATCTAACTGTTTTAATATATCTTTTAACATATCTAATATTTGTGGTCTGCAAAGCAACCTTCCATCAGTTGAATCTTACCTATTGCAAAATTTGCCAGACTTGCTTCCTCTTTGTGAGACTAATTTAAATTTTGATATTCCTTCTGATCTCATTGTTGATGGGTGCTGTCCTTTGATTCACAAAGACTCCAATAGTCACATGCTTGGCTCGGGGGTATGCATATGCATCAATTCACCTATTAATCATGAAATTAGGTTCGAATCCTTTTACCATTCTTTTATGTGCTTCTGCTTAACACTTCACTAAATCTCATCTCAGAAGTAAGGCTCTAGAGACTTTTGGAAAATTTTCAACTTTTCAAATTTTCAAAGTTTCAAATTTTCAATAGTGTTGTTAACAAAGGTAGGTCTAACATTCCAACTCTCATTCATGGGACTGATCTTATTATCTCTCCCAAGGATAAGGTGGAACTATTTGCAAGGTATTTTTGTATCTAATTCGACTCTCAAATCTTATGGCCATTCTCTATCTTTGAAAAAAATCAATTTTTGCAATATTTTGCCAAGTGATGCCTTTTTTTCAGGGAATTTTGATTAAAACGTCTTAAAGCATTAATCGCCAGAATATACTTTTATGATTTAAATATGAGCACAGCAATACACTGGGTAATTTCATCTTTGGCCCTCACCTATACAATAGGTGAGGGCCAAAGAGGAAATTACCCAAGATGTGTGCCAAGATTTAATAGGGCGCACATTTATCAAATTATCTTTATTTTTTCTGTTAAAAGAAACAAAACAATATAAAATATGGTTTTTATTTTTTTGATCTTGATCCTCTCGCTCTATTGCTGACTTTGCTAAATGCTGTGACTGAAAGATTTTATTGTGCATTAGATAGAGGCTAGAGCTTTTGTTCTTAACATATTTAAAGCTTTCGACAAAGTTTGGCATGCTGGTCTGCACCATAAGCTTGTTTTATATAATGTATCTGGGAAAGTGTTTGAGATTATCAAATCATTTCTTTCTTACCACTTTATTAAAGTCATCCTCAAAAGCCAACAATTTTCTTTATTTCCAGTAACTTCTGGGGTACCTCAAGGTTCTATCCATGGTCCTGTTTTGTTTGTTATTTATATTAATGATCTTCCCAACAACCTTACATCTAAAGTAGCTCTTTTTGCTGATGATTAAACTTTATAATCCTGTCTACAAAAAGTCTTCTCTTTTTGATTGACTAAAACTCAATCTCGTTGGACTCATCATTTAGTAATGTCTCAATCTTTTACTGTATCTTTCTAAACGCATGCTTCTTTTATTCGTCTAGTTTTTTCCCCCGCACTTCAATGCTTTAAAACTCTCTCCCATCTTCATGTTTTCCTGATTCATACAAATTCTAACTTTAGGAGTCTTTAGTCAACATTTCTTAGTTCTATAACTCTATTCTTTTCTTCTAGTAACTCCCAACTTAATATTGGTTGCTTGCAGCCTTGCAAAAAATAATTGTAATAACTGTATTATTACATAATTTTATTATCTTTTTAGGAAAAACTTTTATGATACTTTTTAAATATGGTTTGATTTAATGTCAAGATTAGTGTGTAAATTGACACAAGATTAGTGTGTAAATTGATTACTGATAATATGTTTAAAGTTCCATAAAACCATTTTTTACAGTTTAAAAACTAAGAGACTTAAAAACAAACACACAAAATAACAACATTTTAAAAGTAAAAACCCATAAATATTCTTAATTTGTTGAATTGACAGGCTTTCGAAGAACCTGAAAATAATTAATTTCACTTTGTTAGTTTTTTTAATTATTTGTTTAGTTAATTTTTACTTTTTAAACAAATTTTTCCATTATTTTTGTTGTTTTTATTTAAAAAGTCCATTAATTTAATGGAGATATCCACTTCATTACTTTTTCTAACCAATTATTTTAAGAGTGTAGTAATAACTTTAATTGTTTTTATTTTCTTACAATTTAACATAATAAAATATTTATATGTGTTATTAAATATATGTTTTCATGTTGATCAGTTAGTTTTAAAAATAATGCAAATTTGGTTTTGTTTTTTTACATCCATTTAAAAAACAAAAAATTGAAATCTTTTCTGGTATTAAAAGAATATTGTTTGTGTTTAACTAGAAAGGAACGAGCAGAGTCAGAGCTTTACAACTTATCGAAACAAAAGTCCAACAAAGTTGAAAGCAATTCAGCCACTATGTTTAACATTGTATTGGAAATGCACTCCAATGAAAAACCATTTATAGAGTTTTACTTTCAACTCAAGTAGATAGATTTCTTACCTTTAATTTTTGTTACAACCAAATTTTTTCAACACCTATTTATTCACTTTAACCAATCCATAATGATTTAGGCAAGTAATGAAGACAAAAGAAAAAATGCGAAACATCAATGCAGCCTTATTAAAAAAAAAATGTGCCCTGATTAAATTTAAAAATTCTATATTAGAGGTACAATTAGAAACTCTTCTTAAATAATATTTATTAATAACTTTTGTATTTGTTGCCATAGTAATAAAGTTATTTTTATGTTTTTTTAGACACAACTATGTCGTCAAGCTAAATTGAGAGAATCAGTTACACCTTGTGTATGTTAATTTTTTACTTAATTTTAGAATCTTTATTTGAAACTTAAGAAAATTATTTAATTCTTATATATATATATTTATATATATATATTTATATATATATATATATATATATATATATATATATATATATATATATATATATATATATATATATATATATATATATAGAGAGAGAGAGAGAGAGAGAGAGAGAGAGAGAGAGAGAGAGAGAGAGAGAGAGAGAGAGAGAGAGAGAGAGAGAGAGAGAGAGAGAGAAAGAGAGAGAGCGCTCCCTTCATAAGTGACAGATTCTGAGTTCGATTCATGTCCCACAAGAAACTGATGTCTTTTGACATCAGTTTCTTGTGATCATTAGATAAAATAAAATAAAATTTTTTTATTATATGGTTTAAAATCAGTTAGCTCTAGCTCTAGTGTGCTGACTCACTAGAACTTTAGTTTGGAATTAAAAAATAGACACTCGAGTTTCTGTTTTGATGAAATATATTTAATTTAAGTCAATAAGTTTGCGATTTATTTAATTTAAAATTAATTTCTTAAACAAACAAAAAATTGTTTAACATAACTTTATAATTTTTCTCATAAGTATGGAGCATGAAAGAAATCATTAGGAATAAAGACCGACGAAGTCGACTTTTTAAGACTCGAATTTAAATGAAAGTTTAAATAAAAAAAAGTTTAAATAAAAAAAAAAAAAATGAATTTAGATCATATGCCTATATCAAATTTAACTTAAAGATGAATTTGAATTTTAAAAACATATTTAGTTAAAAAAGAAATTTTTTAAGAAATTTTTTTTTTGTAATTTTTTGTTTTAGGTGAAAAGAAGACCTAAATTTTTTTTTTTACTAAATTTATGTTCCCAATTTAGTTGAGGAAGCTACTTTTTCTATTGGTTACAACCCTCTCTCAACTTTTAACTCCGAAACACTTTTCGCAGTTAAAGAGTTAAAAGCGGGTGGTAACCAATAGAAACAGGTTGATATACATAAAACATATAAAATATTTTCTTCCTTATAAATTGAAAAAAAACTTTATAGCTTTTGAATTTAACTGAAAGTTAAATGAAATTTTGAAATTGTTACCAAATTTAACTGAATTTCTATTTCAAGATTAAGCCGAATTTATATTTCAACATTGAACCAAAGCTAAATTCATCTTTCAGTAAACTTTGTAAACGCAATTTTAACAAGCATTTGTTGGTCCTTAATTAGGAACTTACAATCTTCGAAAGCTTCCAAAGTTTGCTATTGATTTGATTAGATATGATACAGGAAGTTCAGTTAGAGCTGCACTAGGAAATGCTCCTATGATTGATCTGTTTGATGATATAGCAATCACAAAAACTTTAGTTATAGACAGATTCAAAATTGACAGTCAAAAGAAGATAGTGAAAGTTTTATCGGACTTAAAATCTATTAAAGATAACACAGAACTTATTTGCTTTGGTGCTGATGATAAAATTGATAATGAAACTTTAGTTATAAAAGAAATAAAAATAGAAAATGGCGAAGTTGCACCAAAGAGGTCCACAGATAAAGAACTTCATATGACTATCTCACTAATCTTTTTGACGGGGTGTATCTTACTGTCAAAGTTTTAGCTCTTGTTGCAACAGTTAAAAATCAAGTTCAGAGCCTTTATGAAATTCTTGAAGAGTATGATAATACTTCAACAAACATAAGTCATAAAATAGAAATAATTTCTGAGTTAGAGAAAAAACTTGGACAAAAACTCATTTTTACACACTCTAGACTGAAAAATGAGTAATACCAAAAATGAGCCTAATATTCAAAATGATGTTTGTATACAAGCTCATAAATATTTTTGATTAAGACAAAGATGAACCATTTGAAGGTTTTACTGATGAGGAGATAGTATAAAAGTTGTTTTCTGGAAAAAAGTTTAACATCACAGATATTTGTTCCCATTCACAAAGTATTGAAAGGTTTGTACAACTTGTTTGCAAGGCTGGTTGTATTATTTTTGGAAAAGATGGTCATCAAAAACATATTGTTGCAAAAATTCTTGCACTAATCATCGGATGAATTTTACATCTAATTATTTTTACAGTGAGATACATGATAATATCCTTAATTAGTTTGAAAAATAATTTAGTGTGGCTATTATATACAGTGTATATATTATACAAAGTAAATTGAAGTTTATAATAATCTTCAAGTTATTTGTTGCATAACTATGTAAAAGTAACCATGAGAAAATAAATCATTTTCGAACTTTGTATTTATTATAACCTCTTAGCTAGAACACTATAGTTAGGAAACATTTTAAATATTCTACTATAATAACCTCTTAGCTAGAACACTATAGTTAGGAAACATTTTAAATATTCTACTATTATAACCTCTAAGCTAGAACACTGTAGTTAGAAAACATTTTAAATAAAAATATTTGTGTTTTTGTATAAAAGCTGGTCCATGTTTTGCAAGAGAATATTTTGAAAATAGTAATATCTAATTTAAAAATAAAGTTTAAGTTTAATAGCTGATATTTTATTTTGTTTTTCTTTATTTTGCCATTACTATCGAGCCAGTTTTTCCTCTCATTTATATTTGTTATATATCAAATAATTGAGTCCATCTTCAAAGCTAAAATCACTCATGAAGGAACTGTTTTAATTAAAATTTTTCAGGATGCATAAATGGATCTTTCAGAAAATATCTCTATAATGCCAAACACTTGATTCCAAAAAAAGTTGTTATTTGACCTGCCCTAATATATATTAGGGCGGGACATAAAATACCAAAGTCAATTAAAAAAATACCATAATAATTTTTGATTTTCCTTTCGATATATGTATCAAAAAAATATAACTTTTTTTTTATAATAGGTACTTCTATGGTTGGTCCCAGCAGTCTAAAATTACAAAAAATTTTAGTTTTTGTACATATGGAGGGGGCCAGGATCACTTACAAATATTTTAAAAGTATCATAAAAGTTAATTTTGTAGACTGAATGATCAGTCTTACTCATTTAAATACACTTTGTGTTTATTTGATGGATGGGGGATTAAAAGGGCAAACAAATCATTTTCTACATATTTCAAAATATAAACATTTTTAAAATTATATTTTATTATTAAAGAAATTTTAAAGTTTTCAGCCAAGATTTTTTATTTCATGTCGGAAGTTTTAGATGATAATCAGCAACATCAAGTAAATTATCTCATGTCGGAAGTTTTAGATGATAATCAGCAACATCAAGTAAATTATCTCATGTCAGAAGTTTTAGATGATAATCAGCAACATCAAGTAAATTATCTCATGTCAGAAGTTTTAGATGATAATCAGCAACATCAAGTAAATTATCTCATGTCAGAAGTTTTAGATGATAATCAGCAACATCAAGTAAATTAGCTTGGTTATATTCTTCGATTCTGAAAGTTTCAATGATCAAGTTTAATAGCACGTTCTGCACTGTCATTTACAACAAGAAGACCATTGACGTAGTTTTTATATCTAATGTAACCAGGAAATAAGTCCCAGTTTGATAAACTGATTTTCAGCCATTCTGTCTCATGTAATGTTATTTTTAATAAATCAAACAAAAGCCAGCTTTCAGGATCAATAAAATCTTTATTTGTTATTTTATTTTCGTTAATAAAAATTTCAGAAATCAGTTTTTCCATCTTAGCTATTTGAGATATTTTAAGAGCTAATTTATGTAACTGATTTAAAGGTAAACATTTATCTGTTAGACGGATTACCACTAATCTTTAATTTAAATATCATTGTGTTTTTAAAATGATTTAAGACAGAATATAGAATAACATATCAAATATAAATTATATATTATATAAATCCATTATCTTTTGCAAAAAAAATAAAACATAATTTACAATTAGATATGTCAGGCTACAAAATAGCCTTTATAGTATTTTTGAAATATTTGTAAGTTACACTGCCCCTCCATATGTACAAAAATTAAATTTTTTGTGACACACAAACTTCACAAAATCTTAAACAAAAACACTGTAAAGGTAAGCTAGCTACAGTTAAACACTGAAAATATAGAAAATAATTATAAAAAACCACAGCAAAAAAATTATTTTCCAAAGAATTGAAGATAATGGCCCAGAATGCAAGTGTCAAAATGGTAAAGTGAATGGTAAATGCAAATCCATAAATATTATATATATAAATACATCATCGCAGCAAAAAACAAACCCATCAAAGTTTATATTGGATTAACGGAAGGTGAGTGGAAAACCAGATATAACAACTTCTGAGTTAGAGAAAAAACTTGGACAAAAACTTCACTCTATAGATTGTAATCTATAGGAGAAATTTGCTATTATATCATGTCCAAAACCTGATGAACTGCTAAATAGAACCAAAATTATATCAAAGTGTTGCCACAAAAGTAAACTAACAACTAAAAATAACTACATTAATCTACTTCATTTATTTCCAGGCTAACTAATAAATTACACAGTAAAAAAAATACCCTTTATATTTAAAAAAATATATATAACGCTGGATTTCGTGTTTTATAACGGGTAGTTACCATT